TTAAAAAGAATTAACTATACTTACCAAAACACTCTAAAAGTTTAAGAATCTTTAGTGGCAATCTATATTCAGGCTACCATTTGAGTTTTTTTTTTTTAGACATATGCACTCCGTACCAAACAACCTTGAGAGGTAAACAGCACCACTACACTCCACATTGTGCATTCAACCCCTATGTGCCAACACAGAGCCCTTGTACAATACACCGCACACAGCAGCCTGGCCGGTACTTCCCCACACTGGGGGTTCCCAGGACCCAGGTGCAAACAGGGCGTTGGACACAGGAAGGGGGACCCTGCAGGACAGGAAGCTATAGTGTGCCATTACAGTGCAATAATGGGAACAGGATAATAACCTGTTGGTAGCCATGAAATAGGAAGTCTGTGCCAAATCCTTGCTTGCTGTAAAAGAAGAGGAAAGTTTGCTTTAGAACTGAGTTGCTACTTTAAAATAACATTCAGATTTTCCCGTTAGCACCAAAAAAAAAAAAAAAAAGATGTTGTTTAATACAACACAAAATTCAGCTTTTTAAAATAGCAGGCAACGTAGATCTACTGAATGATTTTGGATTTTGAAAAGGGTTTCTTAAAACAGCGATTTCAGAAAAGGAAAGAGCAGAGAAAAAAAAGGTTATACCTCGCACTAGCTGGGAACACCTCACAACATCTGTGTGTGGATGATCAACTGTTATTTCAAAACCTGCAACGGAGATGTTGAATGAAGACGATCAGCCACTGGTACAAGCACAATGTCAAAAACCAAATCATAACTCCAACTAAAACTTCAGGTGTTGCCCATTCAATATTTGAAAATACAAACTTCATACATCCAACGTCTACATGTCCTTGTGGTACTTGTGTAAATTTTGTTGTAGTATTCTGGGGGGGGAATATAGCTGCTAAAATGCCAGCCTGTGAGAACCAGTAAAGCAGTTCAATACACAGGGGGAAAAAAAAAGAGCATAGATCTCACAGTCATACAATGTCTGCAGCACTGAAACTTTAAGAGCACTCACCCAGTGTTTGTAGCACTATTGTTTCCAGTGCTACAAGCTCTTGTGCCTGCTGCTGGAATGCCTGAGGAAGATAAAAATCAATGAAGAATTTAAAATCTGCTTCCCAAGAACTAGAAGCAACACAATTCAGCTTCTCGTCAGCATTCCCACAAAATAAAAGCGATGCCAGGATACAAAACTGTACAGGCTACTGGGGACCTTGGCAACTGCACATTTTAGCCTTCGGGTATAAAAGTTGAACTGTATGGGCTTGATACAGCCTTTCAATTTCTAAGACTGAATAACGCGTGAAAAATCTGACGTATTGTTTGCTGGATTTAGAGTTGTGTCATACAACATCATTCAACTTTGCATTATAGAACCTCAAATTGTGGGAAATGTCTAACACAAAGGAGATATCTTCAAACCGGTCAGACAATTAGTCCGTAACCTGCGATCAAACTTGAGAAAAAGAAAAATCGGTGTATCTGCTTAATTGATTATTTGATCAGCCAATAATTGCAACTCTGTGGCAGTTGAGGAGTTATCGACACATCTGTCATAAGAATTCATAAAAGCATGTATATTAGGCCACACTGTAAAGCCACAGTTTAATTTCAATATAGCCTGGCATCCACATAAAACAGATTATCATCCATCAGGTCCAGGTTGAAATGGGAGCACCAATTCTCCATCTTCATTATACTTTACTTACATTGCTCTTAGTGTCTAGGGCAGGCTCTTGTGGGTTTACGCAGGCATGGGCTATTTTAATGACATGCTCCAGCTTCCTGGGCTGCTCTTCAACCTTAGCCGCCAGGAACAACGTGGTCTGGGAAATTATCTATAAAGAGAAAACCTCAGTCAGTTTCTCATAACGGTAGCACCACCAGTAATTATAGTATCTACCAAAACTGCCGTGGTACTTACATTTCTATGGAATTTGGTGAAAGAGTGAATCATATAAAACCTGTGCATATATACTATAGCGGTGTTGATAATCAGTTGAGAGCTGGACACAGAGTTAAGGCACAATACATGGATGATACATAGTAAAAATCAACTGACTAACAGCTTTGCTAAAGAAACCATGGTGCATTAGCATCGAGCTAGCGTTGACTGGACAGCTAGCAAAACGTGTACCCTGCAAGTTAAAACCAAGCGCAGAATCAAGTCAGTAGTTTCAACTTCTCCGACGATGTATGAGCCAATTAGTAACGTAATGTTAGGGTTTAATTAACACCTACAAGCACAGTCCGTAATCTTTGATCACCTGTTATCTTAAGGAACACAGCGCTAACAATAGAACCTGCAGTCTAAAGAGACAAAACAATAGCTAAGCTAGCGAGCAGGCCTCAGCACTTCCAGCAGGTCATAATCATCGTGCTAACGCAGATAGATGCTCCATCTCGTCGGAGAGGAGTCTGTGCGTGATAACGAAAGATTTTCAGTGTGTTTCGAGAGCTTAGCTGTGATCTGTAACAAGCCTTGTCATTCCGATCTGTCTGTGAGCTAATGCTAACCCGGGCTAACCCGTCCGCTGGCCGGCTAGCCTTCGCGTTTCAAAAAGGATACACGTTGAGTCTCTGGCCTATATCTTGGATTAAGTTGGCGGCCTGCTGGCGGTAAGAGAGCTCCCTGTCAGCCTCTATTCCGCAGCGTCGAGACGGTGTGTTTTCGAGCTGCTCCCGGGTGAAGAGCCATTTCGTAGAGGGTCCCCGGTGCACCGCCATTACGCTCCCACAGCCAAGCCCGACGGCGTTAGCATCGGGAGGGAGCGGGGCGACGGGGGCACCGGAAGGACGAAATGAGCAGCCGAGGCTGAATTAAAACCGGTTATCCGTTTTCTGAACAGCGCCTCCAGCGGTAGGTGGTGCACACTGCCATCTCCTATACATTCTGTGTCAGGTAACATTTTGGCCACAACAACGCAGGTTAATTCAGATCTATTAGGTATATATATTTAATACTTAAGCCAACAGCCACTAAAAGCTAATCTGTTCTTATTTTAAGTTTATTTATAAAAGGAAATAAAGCAGGTATGGTTGAAATGTCCAAATTAGCCACTAGAGGTCACAATTGTACTTTGGGCCAGTCCTTAATTATTATTAGAGATAGAACCCTTAGAGATCTTATGAGGTTTTATGCATTGGTGAGAAGTTATTATTTTTATTTTACTTATAGACAGTACATGCTATACTTTCCATTTTCTCCTATGTGTGAATATATTTCCGTGTTGCTTATTAGAGAAATTGTTATTTGTTTAGAGATGTCAAAGTTTTAATATTAATACAATTAAGAGCAAAGACTAAAGAGTCAAGGCATCAGTGTCTGATCAATATGATACCCGGCACAGATTTTTTTTTTTTTTTTAAATGAGACTTTAGATGTTGCCTCTGAATACATTTCAAAGATGTCTCGTTTTTATTATGATAATATAAAGCATAAGGTTAGCTACACTTGACCTCCCCCATAAATAAAAGGGTAAGTGCAAGCATTATATACATTTTTCTCCTTGGCAGATTGACACAATATGTTCAGTGAAACACCACATAGGCCTAGTACACCCTCCTCTGACCTGCATTACTGTGTGTCTACCACCAAGGGGAAGCAGAGACTAAGAACTGACTTGGATCTCAGTGAATGTAGAGTCTGTCCACCTGAGGTGCTCTACATAGACCTGCTGTATAAGAATCTTCCCAAATAACTACATCTAACCTTGTTCATAACTGGAATCTTTTTGAGAGCATTAAAAGTCCCCATGACAAATCAACCAGCTTGCTTGACACATAGATCGAATATTTAAATAATGTTTTTATGTTTTGATGCTGTATAATGTCTGAAATTGGTATTTTGTTTGTTTTCTTCTATTAATGAATTTGCCATACATGTGGAAATAGTTTTTCAGATTCATAGTGGACACTTTGTAAATACATGAAAACCCCATAATTTTGACGATCTAATCTACAGCAATCAGAATAGTTTTAGTTGAAATGCTTATCAAGTAGCTCCGTATCTTAGCAACCAGTATCTTACACAACCCGTTACCTTTCCCTAATGTAATGTAATAATTATTGCAACCAAAGACTTAATTCATCACAATCACAACTCACACTCTAAATAATATCACATTTGAATTGTCTGTCCCTTCTCGCGTCAATCATCATCAGTGATTTGGCGTCAGAGGATGAAAATAACAATTATCAGAAGTAAATTAACAAATTACGTCACAAATAAATTGGTGCTCACGAGGACAAACAAAAAAAAAAACGATATTTTCTCTACGTGACAGATGAGCAACAGGGTCCCGTCTGTCTGCACGTCCGCCGGCTCGCTCAATCCACATGGGACAGATGTTTTTTTTTGGGTTTTTTTTCCTCGCGGAGCGCGAGGCGCAGCGGCTTTCTCCTGCTCTAGCGCGTGCAGAGGTCTTGTGAACTCCGCCGCGGGTAGCAATTAGAGACCAGGTGTGGCTGTTTCACGACATCGCGAATTGGAGCCTGTTGAGAATATTTTCTTCTTTCCGCTTGTCCAGTCTTTGCGCAACATATTCTGTCAGGTTAGTGATAACGTAGATACCAGTTCCGGTTACTATGTTCAGAATAAAGAGCCAGTTTCCTCCCTGAGAACAAAAATAAATACTTTAAAACGTTTTTCGGTGGAGGAAATATTTAGACCCGTCGTGGACGGATTTCAAATGCCATAAAGGAAGGTAATAATAGCTATTTTGACTCTAAAATAACTTAATGATAGTCGAATTGAAGACATTAAAGTCAAAGACATTAGATGTTTAAAATGTTTTTTTGTTTTGGTGTCCATGTCTCCTCATTTCCGGTATCATTTCACCTTACAGTGTGTAATTTGGCGCAACTGGACCTGCAGCCCTGCAAGCAACCTCCCTCCCTCCCGCTCCGTCTCCGGGTCTCTCCCCAGCTGAAAGCCTGCACTCCTCGCCCAGGTGTGACATTCTTAGAGTGCCTCATTGAAACCGCAACCTGCCGAGAAGATGACGGACTCCACACAGCCAGACCCCACCGCCGTCCCGTACCCGGCTGTAGTTGTGGACCCCACGGCGGTGAACGGGCAGTGCGAGCAGGCGGACTCCCAGCAACAGCAACAGCAGCAGCAGCAGCAGCAGCAGCCCAACCCCGAAAGTCAGGGAGAGGGTTTCAAGATGGACCAGGAGATGAAGATAACAGACAGCATAGACGACCGAGGTAGGCGGTGTGAAATAGGTTCAAAGTTTAGTATTCACCAGATGCCCCGCGGTGGCCAGGACGCACACTGTGCGTAAAGACACGGAGACAACCAGATGCATATTTTACTGTAGCTACATTAAGTAGAAAACTGTTTCCACTTGTGTCCATTCAACTCTACTGAAAAATGTTGCTCTTCTTTTTCTTATAATCCACCTCCAGATGATCCAGACTGAGAGGCGATATAACTAATGACTGATGCTTTCATGTCATTATGATATATTATTTACAAGGCTGAGTAGACAAGGACTACAGAGTAGACATATTTGCATTCTGTTCAACATATGTTGCCTGAACTACTGTGCTGTGGTTCCAGATTTAGGGAATAAATTAGTGGATTGCCTTTGGGAAAGAGTGAAAGCCACAGGCAACCATTTGAACAGCAGGTGTTCCACATCCTGAATATGGCACAGAGCAATGTGCCCTCACAACACAACAAACGCCTGTAACTCTGACCAAAATCATAGCGCACGTTCATTTTAATGGATAAGTCCAGCACATTCAAGCTGCTGCAGATCCGATGGCATACAAGGGAAAAACAGTGGAAACTCAATTCACTTCTGAAACACTGCAGCGTGCTTTGAGAAAATGGCTGTATTTGTTACTATGGAGTGAATGGGCTCAAACATCCACAGTCACCAGGATATATAGAAACATAATCGCAGTAAATACGATGTGGTCGTTTAAACCAAATGGACAAATAAGCCTGATTGTAAAAGTTAATAATAATAGTCATTCATTTATTGTTGGTGGTGTCTGCAGGTCTTCTGGAGAGCAGCATGCGCCTGAAGCCTCACGAAGCCCAGAGTTACCGCAAGAAAGCTCTGTGGGTGTCCTGGGTGTCCATACTGGTCACCATTGTCCTCGCCATCGCTGCTTTCAGTGAGTAACACCTCCACGACTCTCTCTCTTTCATGAATCTCACAGAATAAGTGTTGCTTTTACATTTCTGCTGCGTCCGTTCAAGAAATGAACAGATGCTGATGCCTGCTGCCTGGTCCTTCAGTTGAAGGACAGGTTTGTGAAATGCCGTGACACCCTGTTGATCAGTGCGACACCCAACAGCTTGATTAAACAGCGCTATTCAAAATGAACGACAACACGAAGGACAAGCAGTCGATGCAATAACAGACTCCAGCATGCTAACTGACAGCCCACACGTCATGCAGAGATCCTGCTTCTTTCCCTCCTGAACCTTTCCCCTCCCACCGCTTCCACTTTAAATGATAATTTCTCTCAGTTAACAAAGCTTAAATACTTTGGAGCTGTCGAGTGTGAACTGGACCTTGACTCCCGCTGCAGTTACTGAAGGTTTATTTATTTCAGAGGCAGAACAAGCTCGTGTGACCCCCCCATCTGCATGAATACGATGACTCGTTCTGAGGTTATAGATTGAGAAGAGCAGAGAATATTACTTTATTCCTTTTTAATTCATCTGCATGTCAGAAGTTTCTCTCTTTGAGTCTAATTTGGGGACAGAAGTGAGTCACGTTGTAGATCTAATTCAGATTTTTTTCTATTTTAGAAAACCGTGCAGAATGTTTTCAACATTTGCAGAACTTTAGAGAAGGACATAGAGTAAAATTTAACAAGTGGTGTTTGAAATGACGATGATGTTATAAATCAGTTATAACTGATGCTTCTTCTTCCTCCTCTGCAGTAAATGCAGATCAGTACTTGACAGATGCAGAAGTAAAGAGCTGCTGCGGTGTAGTTTATCACCTCAACATTGGTTTGCAGATGTGCACATTGCTGAAGACTAGACAGGAAGTACAATAACATCTTCTTCTTCTTCATGACTTTGATTTTTTTAAAATGTTTTTAAGTATAATACCTCATTAGTCAGATTAAAAAAGAAGACCTTCCGCGTCTGTAAACAGACCGATTTCTCTCTTTCTTCATTAGATATTTTCACATCTCTGTAGTCCTGCAGTTGGACCCCTCGCTAGTCACATCTTGCTTGCTCTTACTCATAAATGAAACATGGCGCTGCTTGCAAATCAGCTGCACAAACGAGCAGAGGACGAGATGAATGAGGCCGATGTAGCCGCAGTGATTCCAGTAAACAGTGATCTGACTTGCAGTCGCACCGGGTCGGCGTCATTACCCTTAATTGTTTCATTGCAGTTGTTCAATAATTAATCGGAGCTGTGTTTGAGGATGTGTTCGATTGGTTGCTTTTACTTGCGTCAGAATTAGCGAAGTGACCCCGCAGGTTGTTGGAGCAAAGAAGCTGAAGGACGGTGATGTTTTGTTTTGGAAATCAGACTCCATGTTGTTTCAGACCCTTGTACCCACTTCCTGTTCTGATGAGGAAACGCTGGTAGAGCGGCAAGACACAACAGGCCTGTCTCACGGCTTCCTTCTTTGTCCCGTTTTGTGAAAGGGGTTTATTCACTGCAAATTAAGAGGAGCCAGTCCAACACTGCTCTGTCGCAGTTGCTTCGCATTGTGGTGAAAAGAATGTGGTAAACAACATCCATGTTGCCTCCAGTACGCTTTGGGTTTGTCAGATAGTAGAGATACTATCAGAGAGTAAGATACTATCTGGATTTTTAGAAAAGTGTTGACTTTAATACGGCCACATTGTGTTTAGGATCATATTCATAGATGGTTGACAGCATGATAACATTACTTTATTTAGCTCTGCGTGGATAAATGCTACATTGACTGTTAGCTAACACCAGTGTCGTGCTCTTTCATGTGTGATGAAAACATTCACTCAGTGCTCAAGGTTTAAATTACATTACTGCAGCTGATATTGACATTCACATCAAACCCATTTAATATAATTTAATTAGATTCAATATCATCTTATCGTTGCACTGCAGAGTCTCCTTCTCTTTGCTCTTCCTGTTTGATTGACACTGTAATGAAAGTGAACATTTATTAGCAAACAATCCACTGCACCAGTTGCACGATCGCTCCTTAAACTCTTGTTTAAACCCTGTAAAACTGTCACTGGCTCCATGCAAACAAGCCGATGTGTGCTGAATGTGAAGTACGTCACAGGCAGTGAGTCCCACTGTAAATAAGAATAATTTAATGTGCAAAGGCAGCGTGAGAATCCTGATGATAGCATCACATTCTCCTCTCCTTAATGTTTGACAGCTCTGAGCTTCCTGCGTAAGGTAACGACATGAAGTAAGACACACCAAAACAAAACAGTCATCGTGTCAAAGAAAAAAAACACTGTCCATCATTAAGGACCTGAATTATAAAGAGGAAAGTGGCAATTTTAGATACTGTAATTACCAATAACAAGCTGACAAAGACAGCTGATTTATACAACAGTGATGTCCAAGTAAAAGCTATTATCTCTTATTTTATTTATAAAGCTACACTCATCATAAAAAGGAGGAAATACATGAAAGAACCAGCTCGTGTAGAGGAGGAGAGGCGAGGTTTAAAAAAGCCACATTATATGCAGTGAAATCTTTGTAGAAGCAGAGCAGAGCTGCTCATTTGTGTTTTGGGAACTGATCAGTCAGTGTTCAGCGTCCTGTTAGCGTCACTACATCAAGCATAAATTGGCATTTTGAACCTTTTACGAAGTTGTCAGAAATCTTGAGGAGAATGTCCTTGAGGAATCTTAAGCCCTCTGAATCTAAAATACATAAAGAGAATATGATTAACTTTGAAAAGTCCGCTATGAACGTACTACTTGCCGTCTCAAAAGGTCTGGCTCTGAGCACCGCCGTTTTTTTGGGGGGGGGGGCATGCCATACCTCAACCAAGACGTAGAGATGACTCAGGTTGGATATCGTGACTCATGCGCTGAAACCAAATGGCGGAGAGAGGCGTTCTGGTTGGCGTTGGGATTTTATTCTGCGGCGGATGCGGAGCTGCAGGGTGTCAGTCCAGTCACCGCCACCTGCTGCTGTTCCCTGTCAGAGCTACATGAGGACTAGAGTGATGGCTGACGTCCTCCACACACGGGAGGTGTCACTGTACTCCCTTTAGGTAAGCTTGACTTGGCTTGAGCTCACCAAGTCGGAAATATAACAGTGACAGTTAGTGATACACAGTGATAGTTAGTGGAGAAGACCTGAAGTTGAATGAATGGGAATGTATGTAACGGAGCCCCTCGCTGCTGCTTTGATAACGAGGCGTATGCATTGGTTACAGCAGCACAGTGAGACAAACAGCATCAAAAACAACCTTGACAGCAAAGTGTTTCACTGACATGCATAATGCAGCTCCACAAACCACCAATAAACGAGCAGGCCTTGAACAGTGTTTTATCTTCTGTTCTACTGCTTCTCTTGTCAGATGTGACAGTGAGGGTCTGTATCTGTGTGTGTGTGTGTGTGTGTGTGTGGAGCTCCGTCCCTGCTGACACCCATCCAGCTTTCCTGGGAGCCAATTAGCCATCGCGGGGCTCGGCTTTGACGACCGTGGAGCCGCTGCAGATTCATTTGTACACGATTTCTTCTTCTTCTCTCTCTGCTCTTAATGAAGGAGCTAGGAGGAGAGGAAGGGAGGAAAGAGGGGAGGAGGGGAGGAGGAGGAGCAGCAGATGTACATTTCTGGGTGACATTAGAGGCAGATCTGTGGGAGTTCAAACCCAAATTAGATCTTGAAATACTGAAAAAATAATATGGAATAGCATGAAAGTAAAATTCACACTGGAAACTGCAGAGAAAAATTAAATCTGCATTCATTCTCATTTATATATCACAATTAGATATATATACATATATATATATAAAATCTTGCTGTGTTTTTAATGCTAACGCTAACACGTTAGTCCCTCACATGCAAACAAAAGAGCAACGGCTCGTTGTGGATGCTGCTGCTTTCCTCTCGTTAAGTCAACTCTGGCAGATGCATGTCACTTTGGTGTCCACACAGCCCCTCCCTTGTTGTTTACTTTCATTTGAACAGCTGTCAGCTTCTATTTGCTGGATTATAAGTCTGTCCCGAGGAACAAACAGGATCTCCACCCTGGTTGTTTAAAGAACAGGTTAACGAGGCGTTTTTTTTTTTTTTTTAAATGCACATGCACAGTGTGTTTAATTTGGGTTAATTAAAATCCTTAATGTGTGAACCACAAACAAAAATTGAGCTACATGCTAAAGCTCAGGGGGATGATGATTCAAGAAAATACCAAGTGTCGCCTTTTATTATTTTTACCTTTTAATATGACACAATGATCTCAGAAGAAAATAACGGCTTCAGGTTTTCATGTTGTTTCATTTTCAAAATAAAACACTAGAATCTAGAGCAAAGAGAAGCTGGTCATCAGACACTGTGTTTGACTTTTTGCTAAATTTCCCGACCAAAAGTTGTTTTTTGACGGATCATTTTTAGAATCAGTTGTTGTCACTGTTTCCATGCAGCATCTCTGCAGATCTCTGCTATCACACTCATTTGTATTCAAGGCTTGTTCATGTGTGCTAAAGTATTTTCAATGTGTGAATGCGAAGCCAGCGTTCGTCTCCCTTTTCTTTTTCTTTTTTTTTCATTTTGGTCAGGGCGATGGCCGGGGAGTGGATGATTGTGCCGTCAGCTCGGAGAGAGAGCAACTGAATGGAGATGAAATAATAAAGGGAGGAAGAGAGAGGATGAGGAAGAAGGAGGGGGAGAGAAAACAGGGTACAGGGAGGGGAAGAGGGATAAAATGAGGAAGGAATGAGTTGTTTTTTTTGCAGCAGCAGAAAGACAGTGAGAAATAAAGGAGAAGCCTTGTGAAAGATACCACACGATGCTGTTTCTGCATGCAGGGCTGAGGCAAGTTGCTGCCCCCAGTGAGTCAAGCTAAAAATAAACCTGGGAGGAGAGGAGAGGATTCCTCCCCTTTATCTCTCTGCATCTTTCTCTCCTTTGTCTCTTCTTCCTCCTCTCCTCATTGCAGGTGTGAGTGGATGATTGCGCACGGTGGTTTGTTTTTCAACAACACACCTACAACTCCCCTCTCTCACTGCTGCACAAGCTACTGAGAAATAGAAAAGAAGCAACCCTTCGCAAAACACTCACCGCTGGACGTAAATGATAATCAGCTATCACTGCAGTGAAACAGGAGAGGAGCCAGTCAGTGTCTTCAAACTGCCGTCAGGTCATCTCGGTGTTTTCATGTCCACTTATGGGGATATAGCACTTCTGCTGTGTGCACATTAAGGCATATGATTGAGTAGAGAGAGTGTGTGTGTGTGTTTGTGTAACAGATACAGAATAATCCCCCAGAGACAGGCTCTAGAATTTATTCTCACTTTCATATATAAACAAAGAATAAAATCCATCTCCGTGACCATAAATATGAATAAGTGGTGATTTAAGACGAGGAATCTCTGAGCTGTGGCATTTTTCTTCTTCTTCTGTGGATGTGTTGTGAAGAAAACTGGTCAAACTATGTTACAAACATGTTGCATCTGTTGTTACTTGTTTGATCTAAAGTCACGTCTCATTCATTCTTTCTCTCTCTGTTCTCTCCCCAGCTGTTTCCATCATGCGTCACAGCGCTTCAGCTTTCGGATTTGCTGTAAGTCACGTGTAAAGCCTCCACTTCACTAAAGCCGTGTGGCCAACGCTGTGTGCTGCAGGGAAGAGAAAGTCAAATGTCTTTTTTTCTTTTTTGTTTGTTTGTTTGTTTGTTTTTCCACTCTGTAGTTTGATGCCACGCTGGATGTGCTGTCCTCTGTCATTGTACTGTGGCGGTACAGCAACGCCGCGGCTGTTCACTCCGCGCACCGTGAATACATGTAAGTACAATCACATAAACCAGATCCACTCAGACCTACGTTAAAATCGAGATGTAAACTTTTAGTTTCAGGAGTCCACAAGTGCTTAAAAAGTTTGAAATCATAAGTTTGAAGCATTAAAACCAGTAAGATAATAATAATATGATAATATAAATAGATAATGATATGATGGCCTGCACAAATATCGTGGCACCTGCAGTGTTGTGCAGGTAATTCCCTGGAAAAATCATTTGCATTTAACTGTCAAACTGACCGCATTTGAAATGATTCATCACCAGGAAGCGATGAGAGTTTTGACAAAATCAAGCAGATCTTAAAAAGAAACTTAGAAGCTTATTATGAAATGTTGTTCCATTAATACTGACTATTTATATTTTTGGTGTAGTTCTAAATCAGTGTTCAGGCTTAAAATGATATCTGTAAACTACCAGCAGACACCCTGCGTTTGTTTGAGCCTTTGTTCTGTCCTGCCACATGATGAGGAGAGATGAAACCCTTTTCAGTGAGTCCACAGTGTCTAATGTGTGTGTGTGTGTGTGTGTGTGTGTGTGGTGTCTGCTTTGTGCTATAAAGGAGTGTGTCAAACGGCTGGTCTCCTCAGCTCTGTCAGCCTCGGCCCACTGGGACCGATCACAAACGAGCGCCTCACATCTTATCTCTACCTGGCTGAAAATAATGTGTGTGTGTGTGTGTGTGTGTGTGTGGAGGTCAGGTGGCAACTGAAAGAAAGAAAAGAAGAAGACTGACTGTAACTCTTCACTTTCTGCTGAATTGTATGAAGACAAGAGGAAACAACTGAAATTCCTCAAACAACAGTAACTAGTTGATCTAAAAAAAACCCACTGAAATCGCACCAAACATAAAACATCTGTTTCCGACTGAATCAGATGAATGAAAATTCTCAGCGTCTTCGCCCTTACTGTCGGAGCATCTGGTAGATTCATACTCACACATTCGGGAGTGGAGACGTGTCGTGGACTCAGAGGAGCGACTGCTAATTGCTGCAGAGGTGCCAGATGAGATCACGTCCTCCGGAGACGAGACAGTAACACATGCGGAAAGAGACATTCATTCAAAAGTCGGTGCAAATATCTGACATGCTGCAAACGGTACAACACACCAGTTAGCAGCATTTTCTGCATCTGAGTAAACATAAAACAACATTAGCTGTGTTGTTGATACGTTCATGGCACATCTGAGTATTAAATCTTAACACTGATCCACTTGACAGCAGTTTTCATTTTGTCACTTCAGCAGCTAATTGGAGAATTTGGACCAAGTTCAGGAAGCTGCTCAGCCAGTAATTGGCTTCACCAAGAGGCCGGGCTTCCTCCTGGGTCTCTCACACACACACACACACACACACACACACACACACTCTCTCTCACAGAAACAAATATATAACTCTAAACACACGGATATATTTAGGCATAAATGTTCTGAGACGGACAGAAAAGCGAGAATCACCTGCATCCTGCAAGCATCTAAAACACCCACACAGATCGATGCAGAAGTTTACAAGCAGACATGTAGTCTACTTAAACACATGCTGCACATGTGCATGCACACACACACACACACACACACACTAACACTATAACTGTAGCATTGTGCCATTGTGAGTGAGAAAACGACTGATGCACAACCAGAGAGTCAATATTATTCTTAATTTTTTATTTGTCTGTTTGATAGAGGAAATGTGGCTGAATAATCATGCCCAGGTACAGACCGGTTACCAAGGTAACAAGCCCGGGATGTCAAAACAAGACGAATTAGGCAGTTCGGTCCCTTCACGGAGTCATGGAGCTTTTCAAAACAAAAACACTTTGATTCACATCACTGTTTGCAGAGTTAGAAAGAGACGCCGCTGTGCAGCTTGATTTTTTTTAAAAAGTGATGTCATCCTCCCGTGATATGATGGATGTGTTTAAACAGAAGCTGAAAACCTTCAAAAAAAAGATGTTTCTGCTGTTGCTGTTGTTGTTGTTGTGGAGAAAACAGCAGTGCAGAGATGTGGTGCAATTTTTACATGTGTGCACGAAACAGCAGGGGGCCTGTTAGTTCGGTGTGTGTGTGTGTGTGTCCTGCTGTGGACTTCCCAATGTCGTGTTGGGTGTTGCCTTGGTTACCTCATCCGGTGGTCATAACCCAGGATGCAGAGCGTGGCTGGAGAGCAGCCTTCAGACCTGAACACACACGCTCTGGTAGCCATGCATGACCGGGGCATATGCTCCGGGCGTTTGGTGCCTCCCTCCAGACTTTGTTAATTGGGTAAAGGTGTTTAAAGGACATCTGCTGCCCCACGAATAAATCTGTATGTAGCTTCGTTTCACTGGGGCCAATTTGCTATAAATGTAAATTAGTACAGGCCCATAAGAGAATACCTTCAGCTGACCTCACTACAGCCCATTCGATGAGCTTTTATTGATCGTCTTTGTTTGGCTTTGATTGGCGAAAACCTTTTTGACTTGATCTATTTTTAACTCAAAACATCACATTTTCCCACCGAGCTGATAAAACAGTTAAAACAGTACGAGAACGAGCAGCTTCTCCCGCGGCAACAAACCTCAGATATCCACTTTAAAATACAAGGACTTTGCTCCAGATGGGATTTAAATGAGAGGATAGGGTTCCCTGAGAAACAGTCACTGATTTTTGATGTAATTATTACTGGGGAGGGGGAGAAATTTTACCCAAATACATGCTCCTCTGGACTCAATTAAAGTGATTGATCAGGGCAGGTAATATTAAACTCGCATCACCTCTGAAAAGGGGTTTTAAATGTCCCACAATGTCCCATCTTTTAAATAAGATATATTTGTGATTAAAGAACCAAAAATCTGAATGTAGTTTTACATCTCCTCTCTCAGGCTTCTCTCTGGAGCTCTAGTAACAACAGATGACAACGCTAACGCACTGATGCTTAGCACTTATAATTGTATATATAATAGTTGATGTTGATGGGAATGTCAAAACATTATTTGGTTGTTATAAAACACTGGTTTTCTAATAGAGTTTTTGTTGGTAGCTACTTGAATATCCTGAGGTGGTTTGGATTGTGCCGGGGGAATTTGCTGTTCATGACCTCCTGAACTACGTCTGTACAACCCCAGGCTTCAGCCCTGCAGGTAGCAGCTGTGCACCGCTTTCACCACTTTTTCGCTATTGATCCGTGTTTTCGGTGTCGAGGTCGAGAGTTGCATCAGGATTTGTTCAATTTCAAATTGTCTGAGGAATGAAGAATGAAAACCTAAAAGAAGAAGAGCAAACTTTTGCCTTAGGGAGATTGTTTTCGTGGCACTGTGATTGTGTGGATTCTGATGAACTCACCGCAGTTGTCTTCTTTTTCTTTCCCTCTGCAGAGCCTGCATTATCCTGGGTGTGATTTTCATCCTGTCCTCCTTGTGCATTCTGGGTAAGGCCATCCACGACCTGGCCACCAAGCTGCTACCTGAAGTGGTAAGAATTTATTGACTTCCAACACCATAACCCACATTAATAGACGCCACCACAGAGCATGTTTGAGTTGATATGTACTTATTACACAATAAAACACTGGATAGATGAGAGTTAACTACCACATGTTATTTCCCTGCCTGACGTTAAACAGTATATGTCAGCGAGCAGAAAATGGCTCTGACTGTCGTGCAGGGGTCAAACGTTGATTCAAATTGGAGATGGAAGAGATTTGGATTAAAGCATCCACCATATGGGACAGATTATGTTATCCATTTAACACTCAGGAGGAAAAAAGAAAAAACCCTAAACACATTAATATTAAGTCAGCTGTCAGCCGAACAGTCACTTGTCAGTTTTGTCCATCTCCCTGACCTCAGGCCGCAGAGTTGAAGCCAAAATTTGGGGCATAATCAGATTTTTTCAGTTGGCATTTGTGTCTGTTTTTTAAAGCTTGGCCAGATAGTAAGGACCGTTTTGTCCAGCTCGTCTGTAATACCTCCAGTCTGCCAGAGACCGGGATTTCACTTAGAGCCTAAAAAAAGCTGCTGACTTGGTGCCTGTATCTAAAATTATCTCCTCAAAATCTCAGTGTACGTCTTAAGCATCCAAGACAAACTACACGCAGACAGCTATTGCAGTTATTCGCATGAAGCTGAAGATGTGACGTTTGCTGATTCCCCCCCCCCCACCCCCCGTCTTGCCATTTTGAACTGGCAGTAGATCTGATAAGACGGCATATTTTCAGCTCTGGCCGTCACATGGTGCTGGTCACTGGAGGGCCTGGCTGCAGCCAAGCAATAAGGAGGAGAGGGCTGCGAGCCCGCAGAGCTGTTACTGAGCAGATGGAAAGTTTCGGCACCAAGTCTCCAAGCAAAAAGAAATCTAAAAGTCAAGTCTAGATGATTTGGTTTTAACTTAACTTCATGATGAAGCTGCAGGAAGGAAGCTTCAGCACATCTATATGTATGCTATGAATGACTGATCTGATGTTGAGTCTAAAAATCCATGTTTTTTGTTGAAAGGCAATTGAAGCTGGTGAAGAATAATTTCACCACAAGCTTTTCAGTCTTTCCTCTGTGTGTTGGTCCTGAAAAGTACTAAGGTCAAGTGAGGTTAATACTCACAACTGCTCATCATTACGCTCAGATCCTTGAGATCCGCGTTTCTATGGAAGATGAATATTGCCAAGCAACCGGGTGATGAATCTATTTCAGGGAGTGTGAAAGCTCCCGAGTCTTCACACCTGAGATTTATGACATTCTTCATCCTGCAGCGGCAACAAGGCTAAGACCACGCAGTGTCAACTAAAAGCAAGACTCAACCTGAACTCATCTACATAGCTGGGTAGACTGTACCATGTTGAGAAACGCACATTTCCCCTGCTTTCGATTCGCTTTTGTAACTCACTCAGACTCAAAATTCAATCAGTTTTCAGATCCTTTATTGATTTATTGGCCCCGACCGTGTTTTCCATCTATTCATCTGTGGCTGCAGCGAGGCAAAGAGACGGGCCTGACAGGCAGCGAGCACCAAGGCGTAAACAAAGGCAGAATGTGGGATCAGCGAGGCAGACAGATTGTGTTGCTCTGAGTCGACCTGCTGCTCCTCTGTCACACAGTCTGCTTTCTGGTGCATCACAGTTGGATATATACAATATATATATATATAGCTTGTGTTTGCCTCACATCCCTCCTCAGTCGGCCGATGCTGGAAGTAAGGTGTGTCCCCACCGCCTCCCTCGCTTCCTGCTTGCTATGAAATGTTAATAAGGTAAGCAGCTGCTTAGGTATGCAGTGGTGGGACAGAGAGGGAGGGGAGAGTCAGAGAGGAGGATGTTTGGTTTTCGACACCTGACTGTTCCTGCTCTGCTAATCCTCTAAACCCAATTAATGTCAGTTTACATCCCAAACGAGGCTTTACTATTCATACAGGCATTTCAACAATTGGTTTGTGAAAACCTTTTAACTCCCAGGAGAGTTTTTCAGACTTTAATTTCATTTGAAGGGCGACAGTGAGAAAAACCTCACAACCCCTGGGCTTCTGAAAGCCACTCAAAGGACCCTGGGAAACCCCTTAAAATACATGATCATCAAACAGGAGGCGAGACAAACTTCACCTCCTTAATGACCGATGATGTTGTTCCATGCATAATTCAACATGTAAAAATGAGTTACGAGTTGAAACTACGCCTCAGAGCTGCTAGTAGGTGGATTTGTTTTTGTTTGTTTGGGTTTTTGTTCACCGTCTGACAGAGCTAGGCTAGCTGCTTCCCCCTGCTTCCACTCTTTACGCTAAGCTAAGCTAAGCTAAGCTAAGATAACCGACTGCTGACCGTGGTGTTATGTTTGATTTCATTCAACTCTCTGTAGCACTTGACCTGAACATTCGCAGCAGATAACACCAGCGCAATTTCACTTTTATCCATTATTACCTATGAATGAACAGAAACCCGTCGAAAAATTAATCCCCCCCCTCGCTCCCTCTGCCCCAGTCTGACACCTTCACGTCCAGGTAATTGTAGATGATGATTCATTTACTTCACAACCTCTCCGCCACTGAGAAGCCGAACAGTTTTGTACCATCTTCATATTCTGCACAGGGATCTGGTTGTCAAATGTAAATGTCAAGCACAGTGTTCACAGTCTGGGCAGGGTTTGTTTGTCTGTGTGTGTGTGTGTGTGTGTGTGTGCATTTCCCTCTCCCATGGGCCAAAATGTCAGCCAACCCACTGTGAATCTTGATCAGCAGGTCACTGAGGGGATTCCCCATGATAACAGACTGAGAGTCACATTGTGCCATTTATCATTTGAGCTTCCAGGAAGTAGAACTTTTCACAATAACTAGATATGTGAGAGTAAGCGTCTACGTGTGAGGTGAAATGTGCAGCAGCCAATCCGATTATTGAGCTTTCAACTCTCCTCACCTGGTTTTATTTAGTAAATCAAAACACACACACACACACATAGAAGAACGTTAGTATAACTATATGTTTTTTTTTTTTACTGAAGTACATTCACTCATCTTTAATTTGACCCGGTGAGCTTTCCCACGCACTCCACTCTCCCATGACTCCCGGCTGGTCGTCGACTATAACTTATATTCTACTGGCCGTGTGGAAACGTTTGTACACGACCTGCTGCAAAAACAAACAAACAAACGAACAAACGTGACCACTCCAGCATCCGTTAATATCTCCTCACTGAATGGTTAATGATTTAAACCAGCTAACTGCACAAGTTAAAGCCATGGCAAATTATGAACAGATCCGTGTTGACTCTAATGAAACCTTCGCCTCTGTTGCTGAAGAATGTGTTCAATATTATTTTAGATTTTATTTTGACAGACCTGAGTCACAGCACTGACTCAGGTCTGTGCAGCGCGCTGAGGTTTTTCTCTCCATCTCCTCTTTGATGTGTGCGAGTTCGCCAAATTAGCTTTTCATGGCTCCAAGGCCGTAGTGCAATATTAATGCCGCCGCAGAGGCACTGAGTGCTCTGCAGCTCCTTTTCTCTTCTCTTGTCTGTCCAGCCTTTGTGCATTTTCATTTCAGGGATTTAACTGGAACTGTTTCCAGTCAGACTCACAATAGATGCAACAACATTAATGTTCAAATTCTTTAAAAACCGTAGAGGCAGAGCGTATGCAACCCCAGAATTGCCGAGGAGAAAGCAATGAAGTTGGAAAACATTTGCCTAATTGTCCTGAATGATGCACAAGGGAGGTGAAATGGACATGTGGAGATATGATGGATGATAGGGAGCAGAGAAACCTCATCGAGGAGGAGGTAGAGGGGTTGTATGGAGGCGCAATGAGCTGTAGAGGAGGAGCCTGCTGTGGTCGGGCAGTGTGGACCAGCTGTCTGGAGAAGTCCCTGTGGTATTGTCAGCAACTATGGAGAATCTGTAGATGGCAATGAACATGCAGTTTAATTAGCTGGGGTAATAACTGATACAAAGGGTGTAGGTTTGGTTTCAGAAGGGATGCAAGGAAATGTTCGTCACACTTCATAACCCCTAGATTCTGTGAGTAAAGTCCTGACACAACTGACTGATACAAACAAAAACTTAACATGATGATGAAATTAGTTTCATTAATAAAAACTTAAGATAGAAATATATCCATTGCATCACTAAGAGTATTGTTCTATACTGCATTATATTTCTTAAATTATAATATCTTGAGGGCAGCCTGGATGTAGCCTGAGAGGTAAAAACCCAGGGCAAAAAAGTCCTTAAACAACTTGCAGCTGCTGTGAGCTCATAGTTAAAATAGAAGGTGACCTAGATGTGTCTGTCTACCTTTTTAATCATATTATTTTTTTTATCTTCTTATCTTATCTTCTCTTATCTGGTTAGATCTGTTTAGAGAGATTTTATTTAATAAATCAAACTGAAACTATAAAAGCTACAGTTCAGTTTTACTGTAACACGGTAACTGTTGAGTCTCAGAGTTGTGTCTATGAACCCGTGATGTACTTTGAGTTAGGACCTCGATTTGAACCCTGACGGTGAAGTAACAAAACCACGACTCTCACTATCTCTGTCCATTTTTCTTTTGTCTCTCTCAGGACGACTTCCTCTTCAGCGTGTCCATCGTCAGCGGCTTGGTGTGTATCATCCTGGCTGTGATCAAGTTCATGCTTGGGAAGGTGCTCACAAGCCGAGCCCTGATCACTGATGGTGGGTGTGCACACACGCTCAAACCTCCAGATCAAGACCATAAGCTTGCATAAGACTTCCTCTGTTGCTTATTATTAGTATGACAGCACAAACTCACTCATGCTTACATTTCTGCCGTGTGACGACAGATCACTCTTAGCGTGTGCGTGAAGGAAGCCCAAACACGACGCAGGCTGAATACCAACACTGAGCTTTCAAAACCTTCCTCAGCTGACTTTGTGTTCTAAAAAATTACATTACATGAAGTGTTTGTTTTCTCCTTCCAGGATTTAACTCTCTGGTGGGGGGGGTCATGGGGTTCTCCATCCTCATCAGTGCCGAAGTGTTCAAGCATGAACCCAAGGTGTGGTACCTGGACGGGACAATAGGTGTCCTCATAGGCCTCATCATCCTCGCCTATGGAGTCAAGTAAGTTCCTAGTGGAGGTTATTGTGCAGTTGGACACGGGACAGCTGCAGCAGCGTCATTTGTAATTAATAAAGTCGTCAATTCCATTGATAGAAAAACAGCGTTGTGAAGTTGAAGCTTTTGATTCTGTCATACAAAACAAACTGTTTGTGTTGATAACTGCGTAAGTTTACTATAAAGATTTACATTAGCATCTCATCTAATCTAAATCTGGATATTGCTCACCTTAAAACTCCCATACATAAATTGCTGTTATCATTTTACCAAAGAAAATTAACCCTGAATTCACAAAAACACTGATAACCTTGTGAAGAAACAGACATACTACACTAAGGCTCACCCTAACCCTGTATACACACACTGAGCGTGTTACATTCATTTCTGTGTTTTATTTTGAATGTTGTAGTAAAAGCTGATAGTTGTGATTCACGTGTTAACCGGACGAACCTCACAGGATAACCGGATAATCTGTCACCATGTGTCCGAAGTCTGCTCAGAGCATTTTCTTACCGCACCCCCTGGGTTTGGAATAATAGGAAAATCATTTATACCATTCACCTAACATCATTTGAATGTGGTATTTAAATGTCTGGCATGTGTTAACGAAACTACGCTGGAGATAATGTTTCCCCAGACAGAAATAAAAGTTGTACAATAGATTTAAAAGTAGAATCTTAACGTTTCCTCTCAGGAGCAGGTTTTTAATTTTCGTCTGAAATTTGCAATTTTTACTGCTGATGAACTGAGATTTTTTTTTTTTTTTTTGCCTTGAGGAACAGCTGAAATCTAAAATGAATTAATGCCTGCAGGGTCTCAGTAAGTCAGAGCTCCCCCCCCCCCCGTCTTCCTCCGCAGGCTGCTGCTGGACATGGTCCCACGGGTCCGACAGACCAGGAACTACGAGCGTTTTGAGTGATGGACCGCAAGCTACAAGAGGAGGAGGAGGAGGAGGAGGAGGAGGAGGGTTCAGGAGGGATGGATGGAGGGAGGGAAAGGTGGGAGGGGGGGGGCTGACCGACTGACAGGAGTGGGACGGGGACGACGGTCCCCGCGGTCACTCCACAGACAATCACATTCAGTCCTGGAGGTGCCAGTGGAGGCTTCAGGGACCTGAGGATCCAGGAGGACGGTGACAGAAACTCTCAGCAACTTTTAAGTGTTTTACAATTTGCTGTACATATTATATCTTTATGTCTTTTAACAGTGAACGGGCCAGTCCGTTCCGTCATGCCTCCATATTGAAACATGAGGGTGAAAGGGAGCAGCTAATTTTAAAAAGTAGTTGACTTCAGAGGTGATGAATCAGGACAGAGACGAGCAGGACCGCAGAGTACCGGAGACGTATGGACCCCCGAGAGCCCCTAACGCCATAAAAGCTCCAGATCTTCGTACAGCAAGTTGATGTACAATACCTCAGTTACACCTCATCGCCCTGTCAAAACATAGCAGTTTATTTTTTCCCATGGTTCCTAGAGGCCTTCGCTCAGCCGTGCTGTAAAACGTTGCAGATCGCAGGTTGAAGTGATTGATGTAGCTGATGTAGCAGTGGAGTATTAATGGTGTTTTACCCTTTTTATGACTCCAGGGAGGATATATCAATACAAGGCCTATTTGGCACACACATACACACACACACACACACACACACACACACACATAAACACACACTTGTTGTGGGAGTGACAGCCCACAGTGCTGGAGGATAAACTCGTTATGTCTGTCTCTCGGTCACAGAGACAGTCATGACCTGACTCTCCCTCCACCTCACTTTAAATCTAACAGGAGAAAAATGGCACAAACTTGCTCTGTTTACTTCAGAATGTGGACTCTGCCGCCATCTGCTGACAGGTACAGGTGAGAACACACTGAACAGAGAGACAAATGCAACACTTTTTATTTATTTATTTTTTTGCTCCTTGTTCTTCATGAGTTGAAATTTAAGAGCTCAAACTTTTTCCAAGCAAACAAGTTTTGTTAGTGTCTGTTAGTGAGTGTTTCTCCTCCTTTCCCTCCCTCCCTCCCTCCCTCCCTCCACCTGGTACAGGTGTGGCACATCAAGCTGCTGATTACAGCATGATGACTGCACAGGTGTGTCAGGCAGCTCACAGTTAGACTGTGAAATGTGAAGGTTTGGTTTGATGAAAACTTGACTGAAAACTTTTGATTGAACATGACTCGGGCTGCACCTCACGGCAGCACGGTTATTGATCAGGTTATTGATTGTCGGACCGCTCCTCTTCAGTGGCTGTGTGATTATTGGCAGGAAGTTGGAAGGTGCTGTCGTCCACGCAGATCCAGATATTATCAAACACGCTCAATGGCAGTGAGTGCAACAACTGGGACTTTTTTAAAAAGCCTTCCTGGATTTGTTTACATCAAGCAGCAACGAGCAGATGGAGGCAGATGAACGACACGACAACGGGCATCAGCATCTCCTCATGGTATGTCTGTATATACATATACATATATATATATGTGTGAGTGAGTGTATCTTTTGTGTGGTTAGCTCTTTTATTTCAACTCATGAAAAATGGGAGTAAAAACAAAAGTGTTGCATTAATGTTGTTCAGTGTATTTGAATGTGCACAGACTCTGCGCCTTGTTTTTTAAAGACATTTAAAGGGGAAAGAAAAGCTGTTTTTAATTCCTGCACAGTGTCAGCTCCGACTCCAACAGAAACACGTCCTTAAAGTGAGACAGGTGTGTCAGCTGATCCGCTTCACCTGGGTCTCCTAAGGAAATGGGCCCCTGTGTTTTTATTATCGTCTCTGTTTTAGTTAAACTTAATCTGATAAACTATGGTTGATGAGTTGAGCTCTTGTAGTTTTGTTTGGGAGTAGTAAACTCAGAGCTGACGGTGTGCAGGAATTAAACCTTTTTCTTTCTTTTACGTGGTTTAATTTTCCTCCTCCATCTGTCCGACACTTAATTTTTAAGTTCATCTATATATTTAAAAAATACTGTGAAAGATTCCACTTTCCAGCAATCCCAGTGTTTCGGTGGCCAGGTTATTGATAAGGTTTCCGATCTTCTGCAGAGCTGATCGATTAGGACATACTCACGCGCGTGAATCCAACTGCCGTCCACAGTGAGACCAAACTGCTCAGCGGTTTACACTAAGACTGGGACGACTGTTGACTCAACACATCCAGTTTCTGAGCCATGACGTTGTTAAACCTTTATTATTATTATTATTATTTGTACGTGATGCCTGAATGTCGTGACCTCTGATCACGTTCTTGGCTCCGTATTAGTGAAACCGGTCGCACCACGGACGAGTCAATGTTGATATCTTTTCAATATTATGTCAAGAGTCAACACGTGTCCTCGTTTATCTGGAGCTTATGTTTGTTTTGTGATTTTTATTTTTAAATGGCTACTCCTAATTCTCCCGGTGAATTAACTGTTGACATGTGAGGTAGTAGCGTGGCAGGAAAGCTGATTAGTGTTAATGATTAACTGATTAATTTATGACATAGAGGTTTTGAGTTTTAGTTGTGATGTTGGTAGACCCCCCTCCACTTGTCTTACTTTTACTTTCCTACAGTTTCAGCCCATTTCTGTTACGGTGAAGTTGTGGTATGTCAATATTTTGGCCTAATGGATTAAAATTATAAGATAGAAATGATGATTTTCTAAACTCTAAGTAAAAAAAAAAAAATTCACCTAGTATCTCTATTTTTGTCATTTTTCATCTGGACTAAATGGGTTTCCATGAATAGATGCCTTTTTGTAGGAAAATAAAATTAGCACCTTTAGTCCTCCATGTTCCTCTTTTTCCCTTGAAATATAGATTTGAACAGCAGGAAGCTGTTATCGACTAAAGTACACGATCAATATGGATTAATACCTGAGAGTCACTTACTTTGTACTTTGCTTATTTTTAACTCCAAGGCCTTAATCTCACTGATCAGTGTTTGGCGACTGTGGAACATGAATGTATTGATGAGGCGGAGTTTCAGCTTCAGGACTTTGATTGTCACAGATTACAGGGGGGGGTGGGGTTCTCATTTTTTCATCTGTTTTCCTGTAACTGAATGTACACAGTGTGCTGTGAGACTAGTTTATATGATCAACAAATATGTGACAGTGCTGTTTTTGGATTTGAATCTGAATACAAAAGTGGTATTTATAGGTTGTGAGACCCAGATGTGAACGGAGTCACATCTGTGTCAAGAATCTGAGGAAAATGTTGCTTTGTTTTTTTTTGGAAACGCAGATGAAGTTTATTATCGATTAATCAATAACGTGTTCTTGTGCTCATAATGCTTGGAGTTGAGGCACAGATGTAACTCCGTCAGCTCAGTTTTGTATGACTTTAATATACAGACAAGTTGGACATGTGTAAACAAACAAACAAACTGACAAACTGTGGGACTTGAGCTGCTCTTTGACCCGTGCTGACTGTACTTCTGTGCCCGTGTAAATACTGAATCTATATTGCTGTGATTGTAAAACAAAGTGTAAAACCAGAGACAGAGTCTTTTTGTCACAGAAAAAAGGTTTATTTAAAAATAAAGTTATATCCCTCTTACCAATCAAGGACTGTGAAAACAAAATGAAAAAAACAAAAACAAATAATAATGTCAATGCGTTATTCACTTCTCACTGTTTGGACCACAATCGTCAACAAAACCACTCTGCTGTTTCAGACACTGACAGCTCGAGAAAACAAAAACTGTTGCATGTTTGACTGTAAGGAACAGGTTTTTTTTTTTGTTTTTGTTTTTGTTTTTTTGTTTTACAATGGAGACATTCGATGCTGAGGTCAACAAAGACGAATAGATCTGGTGAGGAAACAACCTCTGAGCATGCTTTGTATAAGCCTGACTGACAGAGAGGAAATAAGGCTTTTAGCTGCAACAAAACAGGTTTAACTGATCTGATACGTCACTGGTCTTTAAATGAAGCTGTGTCTCACTTTTTACTAAAACATAAATATTTGAAGTGAAGAACCGCTGTTGACTGTGACTCCGACACCAAACCCTTTCTTTAAATGAAAAGACAACACCAGCGTCGCTTCTGTCTTCCTGTATCAGCACTTTGCGCCTTTTTCTTTTTTTTTTGTTGTTGAAGAATCTAAAACCGCTTTAACTCGCAGGAAGTCGCAGGCAGAAAAAGCGAGAGAACACACTGCCGTGTGTAATCAGTTCAAGGCAAAACAATCAGAAAACTCATTTAATGTGTTGCATTAATCTGATTACACCAAAACATGAGTTTATACAGTTTAAAACACAGGAAGCCAATGTTTGTGTTTACATGGATGTTTCGGAAATCCTGTTATTGCTGGAAATGGGGAATTAAATTCCTATAAAACATATAAATGAACTGATAGGGATTTTAAAATGCATGGAAAACATTAAAACCGATATTATCCTTTTCTTATAATTCACTAATAGTTAGATGGTTAACAGTGAAAGGCCAATCAATCAGTTCTTCATAAATTAGGTTTGGACAGATTCTATTTGCTCATTTAACAAGTATATAAAATGTGCATTAAATTACAGTAAGAAAAAATAAAGTTAAAACAATTTGAATTCATCTGAACAATAAAAGTGATTTTTTTAGGAAAGGATCCATCAGCTCTGTAGTGATGAGGTTGGCTGTATCTTGAGTGTGTTCTCAGGTTGAAGCGACCCCTGACACACCACAGCAGACCGAAACTGAACCATGAAAAGGCACATCATGTTCTTTGAAACACTAACTTGGCGGCAGATCACTGACCTGTTTTTTATTTTTAAGAAAAAGTTTAAAACACAAAAAAAACAAGAGGAAACAGTCTGAGCTGACACAGTGAGGAAGTAAGAGGTGGGAGCTTGGACGGTGCCGTTCAGTCTGAATTTACTCGTGTGCAAACTGAAAAACTGAGATTGGAAATCAAAGTACAAAGTGTATGAGACTTTCACAATAAAACGAGGCACATTTGTCCACTTCTGTCCATCTTCAGGAGACAGTGATGAGAGGAGGAAGACAAAATTAAAAACATGGATTTTTATTTGACTATTAAGATTCTTCTTCTGCAGTTAAAATACGCAGCAACGATTATAAAAAATCTATGTTGGAAACCAAATGATAAATGTTTTTAATCAATTATTAATTAAAAAAAAAAAAAAACAATTGGAGAATAACTCATGTGACGTTTCTTCACATCACTTCTGGAAGATGAACAGAAGCAGACAAAGCCCTCCTCGCTCAGTTTAACACTTTAAGATAAGCACGCTTTTTTTTTTTGTTTGTTTTTGTTTTTTTTTAAATTACTCTCATAAATAAAAATCTATAAAAAGGCAAAAAAAAAAAAAAAAAAGAGACACCCTCCTATAAATAAAAAAACAGATTTCCAGCAAAACAGAGATAAAGATCTGTATACAAAATAAATAAAAAAGAAACCCATATGAACAATATACAGTGTTACTAATATCTTGTTAAACCTCTGCAAATAGATAAACGTAGTGCATTTTTTTCCATTCACCACAAAGAACTATAAATTTTAAACTTTTCTCTTAATGTTTTTTTTTTTTTTCTTATTTTTCTTCGCAAATCTGCAGGCAAATTAAGATCCTAACGATAATCCAAAGGAAAACGAGGAGATGCGAGGTTGTGCGTTTTGCAGGGAACGCGTTGTTGGCATTTTTTTTTTTTCTTTTCGTTGCTTACAGTTTCGCTTGAGAGGATTTACAGCTGTTGTCTGGCAGATGTGAGATGAATGCGGCTCTGTGTTTTCTAACGTTTGTCTACGTGATGGAAGGTTTTCCTGTTTCGCTGCAGTGGCTGTGGAGTCTTTGGGGAAAACGACTTCTTGTTAAGGCTTCCTCGCCCGCGCCGGGTGTTTCCACTGCTACTGACGACGATAGCTTATCATCTACGACACAACGTCACGACATCCTACGACATGGCGACTCCACACATGACAGCTTTAGCTACAGAGAATGACCCTCGTCGTACCGGCTGTCTGATTTCCCTACTGGCCTTTTTTATTTTTGTATTTTAAAGAAACACACACTCAATCCTTTACAACTTTTAAATAAAACGTCCTGTTTAAAGAACAAGTGTGCAACTGAAACGTATGACAATCAAGGAACCGGTGACTCATCCACGACTGGACTTTGCTGCGTTAAGGAGGAATGAAGTCTGCTTTTACGTCTGGAGTACGTGTCAGGAAATGATAAAACTTCCAGAATAAAAATCTAGATATCTATGTTACATGTCCACTCTCGTGACGTCTGTCCAGAGGAGAGGAACGAGTTGGTTACAGTGTAAAACTGGTTTCTTCTTTAGCCACCATCTGTTAGGCCCCCCTCCCCTCTGTGTGTGTGTGTGTGTGTGTGTGTGTGTGTGTGTGTGTGTGTGTGTGTGTGGTGGGGATGTGGGCCTTCAGGCATGTCAGTCCAGTGTAAACCTACCTAAAGAATAAACGGTTTCAGATTCGAGTAGGGGAGGTGGGCGGAGGGTGTGGGGCGGGGACGGGGCGGCTGTCAATTAAGAAGAAGGGGGTGTTTGAGTCTCCTTGGTCCCTTGCTGCTCTGGTGAACCTGGAGACAAACAGGCAGCCAGTCAGTGATGTGCAGTCTTGCCAAAGAGCTCATCTGCTGCGTTCACTCCCTTTTTTTTTTTTTTTTGTTGATTCAAGTAATTGTAACACATCTTCCAGGACCTGTGGCGCCCCCCGCTGGTGAGTCTGAGGGGTGACAGCTGCTTCACTTCCAGCAGTCGAAGGAAAACAATAAATATGAAGATGTTTGTCTGCCCACTAAGGAGTCCGGTGAGTGAGTGTGTGTGTGTGTGTTTGACAGCTGCATGAACATGACGCCCTGGAGTGTGTGTCTATGTCTCTCAAACACACACACACACACACTTTTGAAGCTGCTCGGATTTCGCTTAACCCCGATCCAGACACGCCCCCAAAAACCTCGCCCAGATCTGTGTCCACGCCCCACCCGCTCCCTTCAGCCGGCGTGTGGGTGCTATAGGCAGTCTTTGCACAGCGCCACCTGGCCCTTCATGTAGTCGCGGCAGGGGCAGATGCGTCGCAGCGACTGGTGGGCGCCGGCGCAGCTGAACAGCAGCAGGTCGGACTGGAAGATGCAGTGGTGGCGAGTGTCGCTGTAGGCCGGGACCACCGTGTCGGCGCTCGACTCCACCGTCTGACAGTCCACGCCAAACCTGAGAGATGGGACGCAGAGAGACAGAGGAGCTGAACACAAACCCACCAACTGAAGTGATGTTCTTCAGCATCAGCCATGATTTACTCCAGTAAACAAACTGGGCCCTCTAGTGGCGACAGAGAGATACTGCAGCTCATCTAAACACAGCTGACCAACTGCTCACAGAAACTCAAACCTGTGCTGCCACCTGATGGACACCTTTAAAATAACAGCTAGGTGTGTGTGTGTGTGTGTGTGTGTCTGTGTCTCTCTCTCACCTGGCCAGGTCCCTGTCCTTGTTGAGGTGTTGGAAGAAGGAGGGTTCACAGATGAGCTGCTCCTCCTGACACACCTGCTTGCAGGAGCGCCCGGGCTCAGCCAGCTTCACCTGCAGAGCGCTGAGAGGAGGCCACATCACCTGACCGTGGCAGAAGTCCTGACGACACAAACAGGAAGTCACACAACGGCAGCACGTCCAACACAGAGGAGAGCAAAGGTTTGTATGAACAAAAGTTGAGCTCTTCATGTCAGTTTATCTTGGGAGTAACGTCTTTCCATCTGGTGTGATGCAGGTAATTAAAAATCATTAATTTAAAAAAAAAAAAAAAATTAAAAAATACCTCAAACTTCAATATGATTTATTAATAAAGAAAAAAATGTCATTAAGACACTTGTTATTTAAACACTTATTTTATAATAACTGAATTTTCATGAGTTTTGGGAATATTGATAACAGCTAAACATAATAAAGACGCTGATGTTTACTTTGATTTAAGTCCTCCCACCATCATCTAGTATTCTTTATATTTTTATCTTAATTATTATATATTTTGACAAGTTTATTGACTCTATTTTGAAAGTTGTTCTGATGTGATTTCTGACTTGTATATTCATTACAAACTGAAGCTCTTTTTATTTTAGAAAAAGTGACATTTTATTACAGGGCCTTTGCAGAAATCTATTAGAACATATCTTCAATGTGTTGACAGTTATTGATCTTTACAAGTGCAAGGGCAGCTGAGATCAGATGTGTTATTGCTCCACAGTGATGAGTTAAAGTCATAATGTGTCCAAGAAAACCCTCTGAGATCTGGATGTTTTCTTTCAGCTTTAATCACAGCTCTCTGGGTAGAAGTTCCCAGCCTGCTTTGTCACTAAGAGGACGGCGATGATGATGATGATGATGATGAGGTTGTACCTGGTTCTCAATGAAGGCGTTGACTCTCTGCAGCATCCCCTCACAAGTGAACTCGTAGGGCAGATAGGGCTCGATCTGATCAGACACAAAACACAGACTCGTCACACAACCATCAAACCACTGGACAGAGCCAGGGAGAGCTTGTTTCTGTGTGTGTGTGTGCGTGCATTCAGAGCCCAGCCTGGTGAAATATTAGCCTTCTGTCTGCTCTTTGAACCACTGTCTTTTGAGCCCGTCGACCTCCACACACTCTGATTTTCAAAGGGAAAACTTCAAACTGCGCAAACCAACAACTGAAATCTTTGTTTCTCTCTCTCTGTGTGTGAAGATCAGGAGCAGGAGGAGGAGGAGGGGGGATGGAGTGCGAGCCAAGCCGGAGCCTGGTATGCCGCAGCTCGCCACGGATCACAAAGCATATGAGGCTCGGCAGGCTTGTCCAGTGAACGCAGCCGTTGTTCGGACCCGCTCAGCAGAGCACGACACACAACACGAGGTCCGGTGAGTGGCCTTTAAATATGCATGGAAGACGGAATAGGATCTCTTTCTTTCCCCCCCCTGTGCTTTCACTCATCCTCTGTCTCTGGGCAGGCTTCCATCCAAACATTGTTTTTGGCCACGAGGATATCCAGCTCTAATAATCAAACATATTTACATCTTTCTTCCAAGTTCTCCATTAGGAGGATGTGTTGCTTTTCTTTTCCTATAAGAATTCATGCTGGTTTGAAGGCAAAGGGTGGTCACACCAAATATTGATTTGATTTAGATTTTTCTTTTGTTCGCTCACTTTGCATTTTGTAAATTGATTAAAAATAAACTTTATATTTTTGAAAGCATTCTTAGTTTACAGCATTTTTTTCACACCTGCCTAAAACTTTTGCACAGTACTGTCTGTGTGTATATATGAATCAATGTGACTATGATCTGCTGGACAAATTGATTTCATGTACCGCCAACATGAATCATTTGAGTCCTGTTATTGTTTGATTTCTTCTTTACCAAATATTTACATCATGTATTAACTATTTTGGGTAGAGCCCTGACATGAGGATATAAAACAAGAATTTAGAACAGAAATTACAGCTGAGTTTGATTTTGTTTATTTTAAACTTTCTTCAGACTGAACTCAGAAAATTGTACGTATCCACACGGACATTTCATTAGAGGAGAAATCCTTTTCCTGTGTTTACCTTCTGGCTGAGGATTGAGCGGATGGCCCTCTCCACCTCAGCAGAGTTATCGATATCCACCGTCCACACGTGGGGCTGACCGATGTACACCTCAGCATACGGATGTTGAGAGGTGAGCTGCAGACAGGAAAACAGAGGTAAACAAACACCTTTTTAGAAGTCGTATCATGAGCTAAAGAGTCTGCAGAGTAAAAACATCAGCGTGCACTCTCCCTCTTCCTCCCACCTCTCTCAGAGTTGGTTTGCCTTTGAAGAAGTCGGTGTTCTTGCTGCTCTTTGGAGGGTTGAACTTAGGGTTGAGGAAGGCGCAGCCGTTGGCGATGGCCTCCAGGGGGGCGGGTCCCTCGTAGGGGAAGGACAGACCCACAAACAGCTGCAGCAGAGAGAAAATCAGTGTTAGCTAAAAGACACACTCCTGCTAATGTAAGTCTGAACAATTCAACTGTCTTCCAGAACTGCAGCAGGAAAGAGGTGTCATATGACGGATACCCAGAATAACACAGTGGAGTGAGAAAAGTTCAGTGGCTGTGTTCAGGAGTTTCTGTGGTTTGCTGATAGCAGCAGTTGGACCGTGTTGAAACAAACCTCCAGTCCAATCAACACTAAATACAGTGGAGGCAGCACTCTTTCTTTAATAGTATTTTAGAGTAGTAGTAATATAGTATTTTGGTAGTAAAGTAGTAGTAATAAAGTAATAAAGTAGTAGTGAAGTAGTAATATAGTAGTAGTAATAAAGTAATATAGTAGTAGTAAAGTAGTATAGTAGTAATAAAGTAGTAATATAGTAGTAATAAAGTAGTATAGTAGTAATAAAGTAGTAATATAGTAGTAATAAAGTAGTAATAAAGTAGTAATATAGTAGTAATAAAGTAGTATAGTAGTAATATAGTAGTAGTAATAAAGTAATGTAGTAGTAATATAGTAGTAGTAGTAATAAAGTAATGTAGTAGTAATATAGTAGTAGTAATAAAGTAGTAGTAGTAATAAAGTAATATAGTAGTAATATAGTAGTAATAAAGTAATATAGTAGTAGTAATAAAGTAATGTAGTAGTAGTAATAAAGTAATGTAGTAGTAATATAGTAGTAGTAATAAAGTAGTAGTAGTAATAAAGTAATATAGTAGTAATATAGTAGTAGTAATAAAGTAGTAGTAGTAGTAGTAATATAGTAATATAGTAGTAGTAATATAGTAGTAGTAATAAAGTAGTATTAGTAGTAATATAGTAGTAGTAGTAGTAATAAAGTAATATAGTAGTAATATAGTAGTAGTAATAAAGTAGTAGTAGTAGTAGTAATATAGTATAGTAGTAGTAGAGTAATAAATAAAGTAA